CAATGTATGCAAGACGCATATAAAACCGCTTGTCCATATCTAAACCCCATACAATGTATGCAAGACGCATATAAAACCGCTTGTACATATCTAAACCCCATACAATGTATGCAGACCATCGCAAACCACATACAATCTGTGCAAACACACATATACATATGAATGTGTGTCCCATTCACAATACATCACGATGTGTGAAAACGCATATATGAATGTGTGTCCTTGTCTCAATCCCTCAAAATGCATGTCAACACATCAGGAAAGTGTGTCCTGTCTAACACCGTATGAGTGTGTGTGTGTGTGTGTGATCATAAAACCTTACAATGCAAGAAATCAATGTGTGGACTTTTGAAACATCTTACAATTTATCTAAAACAAATATCAAAATATATCCACGCTTCAACACCCTATTGTGTATGTAAAACACATATATCAAACATGACTCCTTGTCTAAACATCGTACTCTACATATACTGCACATTTTCAAATCTGCACCTCTGTCTGGTTGCCTGACACACGATAGACAACCGTCCCTCATACATACCCATGCAAGATTCTGCCGTCAAGTCACACATTGCAATGCCGTCGTTCATTCAGATGTTACATAAGCTCAAACTGGCGTGATGTTTCATGTCCACGTGACCACGCGCGTGAAAACGTGAGACTTATGAATATTCTTGCCGCTGAAGCGACAAAAAGAAGCATTCTGTGTCATTAGGCGTTTATGTGTTCGTTTGAAACTTCGAAACATAAAACCGCGAACCGATACACAAGCCAAACAATATTCAGAAAATAGTTTCCGATATTGCAATTCCAGGCCTGCACGAAATGAACTCTTTGAATAAGAATGACTTTTCAATTGCGTGTTATATGCGATTTGTTTGCTCGAACGTGGAACAGGAAAATGAAAATAATTTCGCTTAGGTTTTACACACATTAACATACTTCACTCGGTTTCCTGGATGGAGAATAATGTTTTGAGTGTAGAAGAGATATGTTAGGCGTGTTACATTGCATTAGAACACAATAATGCGCCAAATTGATATGGAGGTAAATGACGCATGCCTTAATTATTTATTAGTTTTTACACTTCCGCACTTTCATGTTGATGACAATTCATATAATATCTCGACTGGAAATAATATGTTAACGTCGATCATTTCAGTAATTTATTCATTTATTTTAATGATAATATAATTCAATACCACATTAGAAACAATTGTATTGCGGAAAAACACAAAACCGTTTCTGACGACGTATATTCTGAACCATATATACTCAACAATAAAGTTACGGACCATCCCGATATTCAATATTTAGGTATAACATGGATCATGATATAAACTATTAAATACTTTAATATTGAAAATTGGGGTGGTCCTTATCTTTTTTTGTTGAGTATATTTAGTTTTCGTAAATCAAAGTCAAAGTCAAAGATATTTATTGTACTTAAGGCCTCCGGTCCATATACAAGTAATACAAGTATATATACAGCACATGTTACAGACATTTCACAAAGGAATTACAGTTCAGATAAGATATTGCTTCTAAGGAAAACAGCATGTTTTACATAAAGCGCAAGATTACGTATTACATTTTCATTTTTGGAGGATAGAATGGAAGCAAAGGCAGATGAAGGATATTTTAACAGGTAATTATTTGGGATATATTTTTTTCTTAAATCAGCATAATGTGGGCATACAAAAGCGAAGTGAATTTCATCTTCTATAGCCGAGTTACATAATGGACATATCCTTAAACGTCTCTCTATTGAAAATCGTCTGCCGTTATTTATTGATAAGTCAGACATTAGTGAAGACATCAGTGAAGACATCAGTGAAGACTGCTCACAAGGCCTTCAACGACTTACTGTCATAACATAATGTGAAGTTTAAGACAACATTAAATGATGTATGTGTTCCTTGTTCAGAGTCACGCTACGCCAGTAAATATATATAACGATCACTTAAGCGACATATGGCAAAATGGTTTCACCTGAATGTCTCATATGACGTAAACGGCCTAGATGATACACTGACACTACAGCTCTGTTCGGAATCCAAGAGAGGATCGAATTACATCTACTAAAATATTGAAAGCAACGATCTACGTGAACTTTTACTTGGTATTGTATTTCAACAGCGTCAAGTCTGATTGTGAGACACTGGCGTTGGAAGGTAATGACAAAAGGAAAAATTCAAGCTGCAAATACTGTTGAATTCGACATGGTAGGCAGGGGGGAATAGGAACATATGACATATCTGTATGTGTGTGTGCGTGCGTGCGTGGATTATATAGTGTTTGTCCACTCAAGTATTAAATTTCATTCCCTGAACGAGTTCGCGTACCCCAGCAATTTCATAACCCTGGTAGTTTCTTAGGTATCTTCCCATTATGACTACTCCCAATATGACTACTTCCATTTTGTCTTCTGTTTTAGCATGCGTCGTAACCTGTTTCACATCGTTAACAATTCTTATATAAGACAGGGCGGTAGGGTAGTCTAGTGGTTAAAGCGTTCGCTCGTCACGCCTAAGACCCGGGTTCGATTCCCAACATGTGTGAAGCCCATTTCTGGTGTCCCCCGCAGTGATATTGCTGGAATATTGCTATAAGCGGCGTAAAACCAAACTCACTCACTCACTCACACATATAAGACAGATGTGCATATAAGGAAACCGTCCATTGGGTAGTAGATGACAGTGGACACGTCCATTCTCAGCATGTAGGTATTACGGGGGCAAAACAGGAGCCGTTGTGGCCTTGTATTTTAATATAAAATGTTTATTACTATTTTATTTATTTCATCGCCACGTATCATTGCATTCACTTTCATGAAATCACACATTCCGTTTAATATTAACATACAAAACATACCATCAAAACCACTTTTTTTACATTATTAATGATATGTGGTGCGTGAAATTACCAAACCTTAATTTATTGTTAAACTTAACCCTCTCTCCGCCAGCCTCTGTATCAAAAGGTTTTATAATTCCATATACGTCCATGAAACTATCTTCTACATGAAAGCTTCATCCTCAAAGATGTAAGTATAATCTAGGATATATGTTTTTGGAATGTAACTCTGACACTCTTCCATATATCTCAGAAGTTTAAGGAAACAATTGTGCTTTATCTTTAATACCAGCACACAGATGTACATTTGTCACTCTGTTTATCAAAAGGTAACGATCTTACGCTCGATTTGGGTTACAAAGTGTCTCATTTTGAGGGTTACGAAACATCTACCACCGCTGGGATACCATGCCATAATGACATGAACACACTCTCACTATCTCATAATTCGTCCACACTTTGAACTCCAGTCCGGGTAACAAAAAGTAACATATTTTATCATTTGATACGACTCGGTGACTGTGAGTGAGTGAATTTAGTTTTACGCCGCACTCAGAAATATTCCAGCCAGATGGCGGTGGTCTGTAAATAATGGAGTCTGGACCAGGCAATCCAGTGATCAACAGCATGAGCATCGATCTACGCAATTGGGATACGATGACATGTGTCAGCCAAGTCAGCGGGCCTGACCACCCGATCCCGTTAGTCGCCTCTTACGACAAGCATGGGTTGCTGAAGATCAATTCTAACCCGGATCTTCACTGGTGGTATGACTCGGAACTCTGGACTCGAAAAACGGAAAGATAATAAGAAGTGCGTATCGTCCAGATTATGTAAGTCAAACTCTGTTGTGTCGAACTTTGATGTTAGGAACGTACAGATGTCTCGAAGTGAAAGCTTGGTACATTCGTATTTTGTACATTTACGCAGTGTGGGGAAGTTTCCTAATTTTGCTGGCCTGTCGGGCTAGCTCTGTTTGAAATTTACTAGCCCTCACTATAATTCACTTGCCCGTCATCTGAATGTAGGAACTATGCAGAAGATTACAAAAAGATGAAATACCATCATTTTTCAGGCATGATTTATCTTGCATGATTTAGAAGTTATAATAACTTAAACAAGTCGGAGAGAGTGATATATTTAAAAAATGACACAATGAGTATTCACTAGCCAGTCGGGCCAGTTACTGCGTAGATTTACTGGCCCGACTGGATTGTTATTAGCCACGGGCTAGCAGGCCAGTGGCTATTTCGCACACTGCATTTACGTATACATTTCTCGGTTGTGTATAACACCGGGTAAATCGAAGTATTAAGGTAGGTCCCTTCAACGTCGACACAACGGTGTTCAACTGCTTATGTATCTTGTTGACCCAGACGATGTTAATTCATAAAGAATAACATACATTTTAAACTGAATGATAGTCCATTCCCGGAGAATGGATCTGTTCTTCGACAGAAACATTATCTTGTAATAATTCATTGTTTAAACGATATACACATGTACTATATATAGACTCTTCAAGACATCTAGTGAAACACACGATATGAGTCATCGGCATATAATATTTTAGCTGATCAAAGCAATTCTGTAAACTATCATACTGTCAATAATTAGTAATGGTTAGAACCGATGCCACACTGTTCCAGACCTAGCTTCAGATACCAGGCTTACATTTTACCATATAAGGTCATGTTTTCATGACAGGTGGTAATATTTTCTCCGAACAGTAGGAATTCTCTGCAATTCTAGTCAACTCCCAGCAGAGAGAAAGAATACTCGTGGTTATTTTCAACTATAACCGACCGTGTAAACAAACGTGTTTTCCCCGGAGGTGACATGCTGAAACCTTGACGATGTTCAGCTGAGAGATCACGCTACGGTGAAAATATATACGTATTTCTGTGTCTTATTCTTCCGTCTGTACAAAAAATTGCACGACCCAGCGGGTGATTGTGTGAGAAAAGCTTACAAGGCGTGGGAAGAGTGAGAGAGATGAACAATTGTCGCGTCCGCGCTGGCTGTGTCAAAGCCACTGCTTGCACAGCCGATCATTGTGCCGTTTCGTTGAGATAATCGATAGCAGTTGAAACAAACATAGCTCTTACGAAGTAGCAAATCGAACACACAAATGAGCTTACCGTACACCATGGAGAGAAGCACCAGCTCCACAAACACAATAGTAACACTCCTCATTTCAGTTGGTTATGGCGCCATCACATCCCGAAAGACTGGGATAATCTTTTCCGGAGAGCAGGCTCCCATCAATAGGTATCTATAGTCCATATATGAGCAGAACAGCGCGCTCCAACTGTCGTCTGCCGCTGCACGCGCCACGAGAACGAGTGTCGTCTGGTGCGCTTATCGCTTGTTACAGGCAATACACAGTGAACATTAAGCGATCGACAAAAATCGAAAATCGCCTATGACCGTTAATACGTTTACGGGCACCGTTCGACCAGTCCGCTTGTCGATGATTTCTAAAGTGGGTTGGGGGTACTTCCTAAATGAACTGGGAAGTACAGAAGATGGAGGGGTGAATCATTATTTGCCAAACACCGGCTTAGTGGCCTCAGACCCTGCAAAGCTTCCCCAAGCTAGGGATGCGAGACTCCTTCTTCCTCTTCATCAATACCTGAAGCACTATTCATTAACCCATCAACGCGTGTTTCAGTTAAAGTTGTAAGGCAGACGAAACCTAAGTAAGTTTGGGAACTGGCACAATCGTTGGTAAATTTGTCAGCAGAAGTGAGATGGTGTTATGAACTTGTAGAGTACTGTTGTCATCCCGTGCAAAATTGCTACTTCAAGTGCAGACGACAAATACTGTTAGAGGAAATGACAGGGTGTAGACGACCGCTAATGCATTGATTATATTGGGATATATTCTGGAAGGAAATACGTCATTGATAAAAGAAAAAAATGCCCAGACCCATCACTATGATCCTGATTCTAATCTTATACTCAAGGAAGATATCGGAGTTTAGAGAGACTGGAGCCAGGATCTGTGACCGTTGATGTTGGGTTTAATGCATTTTGGAAGTGCTCCTCACCAGAAATGTAGCCGTACCGCATACAATCGTCCATTACAGGCGGTGCGAGAGTAGACCTCCTCAGTGTATCTCACATATCCCTTTGCTTCAGACCACACGACTGTCTGCTGTGCATAATAGTTTGCTCTATGTGTTGTAGGGGATCATGTCATACAGTGTTGTAGGGGATCATGTCATACAGTGTTGTAGGGATCATGTCATACAGTGTTGTAGGGATCATGTCACAGTGTTGTAGGGATCATGTCATACAGTGTTGTAGGGGATCATGTCATACAGTGTTGTAGGGGATCATGTCATACAGTGTTGTAGGGATCATGTCATACAGTGTTGTAGGGGATCATGTCATACAGTGTTGTAGGGGATCATGTCATACAGTGTTGTAGGGGATCATGTCATCACAGTGTTGTAGGGATCATGTCATAGTGTTGTAGGGATCATGTCACATAGTGTTGTAGGGATCATGTCATTCAGTGTTGTAGTTGTCATACAAGGGGGGATCATGTCATAGTGTTGTAGGGATCATCATGTGTTGTAGGGATCATGTCATACAGTGTTGTAGGGGGATCATGTCATAGTGTTGTAGGGATCATGTCATACAGTGTTGTAGGGATCATGTCATACAGTGTTGTAGGGGATCATGTCATACAGTGTTGTAGGGGATCATGTCATAGGATCATGTCATACAGTGTTGTAGGGGATCATGTCATATCGTGTTGTAGGGGATCATGTCATTCAGTGTTGTAGGGGATCATGTCATACAGTGTTGTAGGGGATCATGTCATAGTGTTGTAGGGATCATGTCATACAGTGTTGTAGGGGATCATGTCATACAGTGTTGTAGGGATCATGTCATACAGTGTTGTAGGGATCATGTCATAGTGTTGTAGGGATCATGTCATACAGTGTTGTAGGGGATCATGTCATACAGTGTTGTAGGGGATCATGTCATACAGTGTTGTAGGGATCATGTCATACAGTGTTGTAGGGATCATGTCATACAGTGTTGTAGGGATCATGTCATACAGTGTTGTAGGGGATCATGTCATACAGTGTTGTAGGGGATCATGTCATACAGTGTTGTAGGGATCATGTCATAGTGTTGTAGGGGATCATGTCATGCAGTATTGTAGGGGATCATGTCACATCGTGTTGTAGGGGATCATGTCATTCAGCTTTGTTAGGGATCAAGTCATAATGTTGTAGGGGATCATGTGATGCAGTGTTGTAGGGGATCATGTCATACAGTGTTGTAGGGGATCATGTCACACCGTGTTGTAGGGGATCATGTCACACAGTGTTGTAGGGGATCATGTCATACAGTGTTGTAGGGATCATGTCATACAGTGTTGTAGGGGATCATGTCACACAGTGTTGTAGGGGATCATGTCATAGTGTTGTAGGGATCATGTGTTGTAGGGATCATGTCAGTGTTGTAGGGGATCATGTCATACAGTGTTGTAGGGGATCATGTCATACAGTGTTGTAGGGATCATGTCATGCAGTGTTGTAGGGATCATGTCATACAGTGTTGTAGGGGATCATGTCATACAGTGTTGTAGGGATCATGTCATACAGTGTTGTAGGGATCATGTCAGGGATCATGTCATACAGTGTTGTAGGGATCATGTCATACAGTGTTGTAGGGGATCATGTCATACAGTGTTTGTAGGGGATCATGTCATAGTGTTTAGGGGATCATGTCATAGTGTTGTAGGGTGTTGTATCATGTCATACAGTGTTGTAGGGATCATGTCATACAGTGTTGTAGGGATCATGTCATACAGTGTTGTAGGGGATCATGTCATACAGTGTTGTAGGGATCATGTCATACAGTGTTGTAGGGGATCATGTCATGTGTTGTAGGGGATCATGTCATACAGTGTTGTAGGGGATCATGTCATACAGTGTTGTAGGGATCATGTCATACAGTGTTGTAGGGATCATGTCATACAGTGTTGTAGGGGATCATGTCATACAGTGTTGTAGGGGATCATGTCATACAGTGTTGTAGGGATCATCATGTCATACAGTGTTGTGTTGTAGGGATCATGCACAGGGGGATCATGTCATGTCAGTGTTGTAGGGATCATGTCATACAGTGTTGTAGGGGATCATGTCATACAGTGTTGTAGGGATCATGTCATACACAGTGTTGTAGGGATCATGTCATCACAGTGTTGTATGGGTTGTATCATGTCATACAGTGTTGTAGGGATCATGTCATACAGTGTTTGTAGGGATCATGTCATACAGTGTCATTGTTGTAGGGATCATGTCATACAGTGTTGTAGGGATCATGTCATACAGTGTTGTAGGGATCATGTCATACAGTGTTGTAGGGATCATGTCATAGTGTTGTAGGGTCATGTCATACAGTGTTGTAGGGGATCATGTCATACAGTGTTGTAGGGGATCATGTCATACAGTGTTGTAGGGATCATGTCATACAGTGTTGTAGGGGATCATGTCATACAGTGTTGTAGGGGATCATGTCACAGTGTTGTAGGGGATCATTGTAGGGGATCATGTCATACAGTGTTGTAGGGATCATGATCATGTCATACAGTGTTGTAGGGGATCATGTCATACAGTGTTGTAGGGATCATGTCATACAGTGTTGTAGGGATCATGTCATACAGTGTTGTAGGGGATCATGTCATACAGTGTTGTAGGGTCATGTCATAGTGTTGTAGGGTCATGTCATACAGTGTTGTAGGGATCATGTTATACAGTGTTATAGGGATCGTGTCATACCGTGTTGTAGGGAGGGATCATGTCATACAGTGTTGTAGGGGATCATGTCACACAGTCAGCATGTCATGTTGTAGGGACTGCGTCATACAGTGTTGTAGGGATCATGTCATAGTGTTGTAGGGGATCATGTCATACAGTGTTGTAGGGGATCATGTCATAGTGTTGTAGGGGATCATGTCATACAGTGTTGTAGGGGATCATGTCATACAGTGTTGTAGGGATCATGTCATCATGTTGTAGGATCATACAGTGTTGTAGGGGATCATGTCATACAGTGTTGTAGGGATCATGTCATACAGTGTTGTAGGGATCATGCGTCATAGTGTTGTAGGGATCATGTCATACAGTGTTGTAGGGATCATGTTATATTGGATCATGTCATAGTGTTGTAGGGGATCATGTCATACAGTGTTGTAGGGGATCATGTCATACAGTGTTGTAGGGGATCATGTCATACAGTGTTGTAGGGGATCATGTGATACAGTGTTGTAGGGTCATGTCATGGTGTTGTAGGGTCATGTCATACAGTGTTGTAGGGATCATGTTATACAGTGTTATAGGGATCGTGTCATACCGTGTTGTATTGGATCATGTCATACAGTGTTGTAGGGGATCATTTCATAGAGTGTTGCTGGGGATCATGTCATAGAGTGGTGTAGGGGATCATGTCATACAGTGCCACGTGACATCCCTCCGTGTAAATCAACAATGTGCCACATGACATCTCTCCATCTAAATAAAAAATGTGCCACATGAGATTCTTCTATCTAAATCAACAATGTGACACAAGAGATCCTCCATCGAAGTCAACAATGTGCCACATGAGATCCTCCCATCTAAATAAAAGATGTGCCACATGAGATTCTTCTATCTAAATCAACAATGTGACACAAAAGATCCCTCCATCGAAGTAAAAATGTGCCACATGAGATCCTCCCATCTAAATAAAAAATGTGCCACATGAGATTCTTCTATCTAAATCAACAATGTGACACAAGAGATCCCTCCATCTCAATCAACAATGCGACACATGAGATCTCTCCATCTAAATCAACAGTGCGACGTATGAGATCTCTCCATCTACATCAACAATGTGACACATGAGATCACCATATCTCAATCAACAATGTGCCACTTGCGATTCCTTCACCTTATTCCATAATACGCCACATGAGATCCCTTTAAATCAACAATGTGCAACATGAGATTACTCAAGCATTACTGTGCCACATGAGAGATTTACATCTAAGGCAACAATACACTGAGCCATACAATCTCTCAGTCTCAAGCGACAATTGTCTTCATGAGATCACAGAATCTAAAGCAACAGTGTGCTGCACGATATTCCTTCATATCGCGTACCAATTTGCTACATAAGATCCCATCATCTCACGCAACAGCGTTGTACATAGAACCTCCTTCTCGAATATAACTCAGCTACACGAGACCCTTCCCTCCCGCCATATCACGCACAGATGTGCTACTCAATATCCCTTCCCCAGTGATATATATTGACGGTCGGCAGATGTACAAGTGACAGATGGCCAACGACAAATCGAATCAGGAGCATCTTCTGTAAACAAATACCACAGATGGATCGATATTTCTTTCTTGGAAAAGACTCCAGCTGGTGATCACCCAGGCTCACAATGAGCGCTACCCCAACACAGTTAACTCGTAGCAGATCCGACAACACTTGTCAGTCGGAAGAGTTTTCTGAACCGTTGGTAGTATGTCTGTCACCTCTGATGAAATTAGTCAGTCCCAATCAATACGAGGGGATTTCCTATTGATATTTGCA